AGGCTTAAAACAATTATGGATAAGGTGGTGTCTCCTGCCCAGTCTAGTTTTGTGCCTGGTCGTCATATTCAAGATAACATTATTGTGGTCCAAGAGTTAGTTCATTCTATGAGGAAGATGAGAGGTAAAAGGTGTTTTATGACGATCAAAGTGGATTTGGAAAAAGCTTATGACCGCGTAAATTGGAACTTCCTCATAAATGTTTTAATGGAGGTTCAAATCCCTGGGCATCTTTCTGAGTTAATCATGACTGTTGTTTCCTCTCCTAAAACCAGCATTTTATGGAACGGGAGCATTACAGATGAATTTTAGCCTAGTAGAGGGGTTCGTCAGGGGGATCCAATATCCCCGTATTTATTTGTGTTAGCTATGGAGAAGTTATCCCATATAATTCAAACTGCAGTAGATGGTAATTTGTGGCCCCCTATCAAAGCAGGTAACGGGGGTCCGAAAGTTTCACATTTATTATTTGCTGATGATTTAATGTTCTTCTTAGAAGCTAGTGAGGATCAGATGCACATCCTTCTCCGCTGCTTGAACCTGTTTGGTGAAATCTCTGGCCAAAAAATTAGTGATCAGAAAACCAGTGTGTTTTTTTCTAGAAATACTCCTGCTGACAAGATTATTCAAATCAGTGGTTTTAAGAGAGTGGCAAATATCGACAAGTATCTCGGAGCTTTAATTCATAATGGTAAGGTTACTAAATCCACTTTTGCTAGCGTGGTGGATAGAGCAAAAGTAAGATTGACTAGTTGGCAAGCTAAAACTCTGTCTCAAGCAGGTAGAATTGTTTTATCTCAATCTGTCCTTTCTTCTTTACCTTACTATCATATGCAGTATGGTATGCTACCGAAGGCTATCTGTAATGATTTGGAAAAACTTCAGAGGTCTTTCATTTGGGGGGACTCGGCTGATAAAAGACACATGCATCTTGTTGGTTGGGATGCTATAGCTAGACCATATAATCAAGGTGGTTTGGGTATTAAGAAGCTTACTGTGAGGAATGAAGCGTTTATTGAGAAAATTGTTTGGACTTTTCCTACTAATCAGGATTGTCTTTGGGTTAAGGTGTTGCAAGCCAAATATGGAAATGTTTTTAATAGGCAGAATGATTTCATTAGGAGGTCTGGTAACTCGAACCTTTGGAAAGCCATGTGTGATATTTGGCACAAGTTACGTCCTAGACTGATTTGGGACATAGGTGATGGTTCAACAATTAAATTCTAGGAGGATAATTGGGTGGATCATGATAGCAATTTGGCTAGCAAGGCTCTCATCCATCTTTCAGATTCAGAGAATGAGAGGACAATTAAGGACTATGTTACTGTAGATGGGGTGTGGGACTATGGAGCACTTTCAAATAAGCTTCCAAATAATCTCATTCAAACTATCAGAAGTATCCTTCCTCCTCAAGGAGATGGTGGAGCGGACAACTTTAGATGGAACTTGAATAATTCTAGTGAGGTGGTTGTTAAACATCTGTATAATGTACTCCTTAATCATGATGGTGAGGAGGATCTCGAGCTTGGCATTTGGTCTATGATATGGAATCTGAAAGTCCCAAATCGTTTGTGTGTCCTTATGTGGAAAATTGCTCACCACCGTTTACCAACTCGAAGTCTGTTGGCTAGAAGAGAATTGGCCTCTCCAATTTGTCCGCTGTGTAATTCTCATGAAGAAACCATATTACATATGGTTAGGGACTGCAGTAAAATTAATCGGGTGTGGCAGGACCTCCTTAACCCTGTTTTTTATTCTTTATTCTTTAATGCAGATTTGAATTCCTGGCTGCTGTTGAATCTGAAGAATGATGTAATAATGGAGAGCAGTGCGCATTGGTCGTCCCTGTTTGCTGTTACGGTGGCATGTGCTTGGAGATGGAGAAATGAAATAGCTCATGGTGAGGAGGAGAATTTTTTGGCTTATAAGAGTCAGACTATTATTCAACAGGTGCATGAAATCTCTTCTAGTTGGAATAATTCTTCGGTTGGGAGGACTGTAAGAAGACCGATTCAGATCCCTGTTGTTTGGAAACCCCCTGATACCAGTTGGATTAAAATTAACACAGATGGAGCATCTAAATTACATGCTGGTGATGCTGCTTGTGGTGGTATTTTGAGGGATGAAACTGGTAGGTGGCTCCAAGGTTTTTCCTATCATATAGGTAAGTGTTCAGCCTTTGTGTCTGAGCTTTGGGGTGTGCTTAAAGGTCTTGAAATGGCTTGGAACGGAGGTTGGCGGCATTGTTTATTGGAAAGTGATGCTAGCTCAGTGATCACTTTGCTCTCCAAGAGAGGAGTTGCAGCTCGAGAGTCCTGGTTGGTGACTCACATTCGAGCATGGTTACATAAAGATTGCGAGGTGCGTCTGGTTCATGTTTTTAGAGAAGGTAATGGGTGTGCGGAGGACTGGCTGTCTAAATATCCATTAGATCACCATCTAGATAATAATTTTAGAATTTTTGATTCTCCTCCTCCTGGAATTTTGCCGTTGTATTTGGCTGATTTTTCATTGTTTTGTAATTTTCGTAGAGTTCTTTTGAACTAGTTGTCTGTTTTGGGGTGTTTTACCCTTTCCTTTTACCAAAAAAAAAAAAATAGTAATGTAAAACAGAATTGTTATTACGCATAGTAATCAATTTAGCGGGTAAGAGCCCACGCACCATACATGTCGATTTGGTTTAATCACAAGCATTGAAATGCATAACAATGTCACGCTATTTCCTCCACCACCACAACCAGCCATCACCCTGTTACGTGCACCACTATCACTATCATGTTGCCACCTCCATTGTTATCATCACCACCTCCGCCATTATCAAATTTTATTTCCATAATTTTTTTTCACTTATTCTTTTTAGTAATTTATTGCATGAAAAATATTTATTTTTTTTAATTTCAACATCCAAATATTTTTTTAATCAAAAATATTTTTCACATATTACATTTAAATACCAAATAATTTTAACTTAAAAAAAATCCTTCTAAAAATCAACACTACTAACAAAAGCCATCCACAACATTCGTTCATATCCAGTGAGGTCGTCTTCAGCATATATAAACTATGACATTAAATCATATACATTACATCAGATTCGGGCAACTTCATCCACATATCGGCGAGGGTAGAATATTAAGGCTTTGCCCCCACTACGATGAAGACGGACACTAAGAAAGAAATAAAAAATATAAGGGATAATAAGAATTTGATTAGATATATGCGGTAGTCTAAATTAAGTTTGATTTCTACGCAAACTAAATTTTAGTACAAAGATAATTAATGAACTTTAACAAGCTAATGTAATTATGGTGTTTGAAATGAAATATGGGGAAAATGTGTATCATTTTAAAGGATATCAAGTTATGTCATTTTAAGTGAGAGAAAGAGATAAATCATAGGAAAAAGAGTGAGAGAATTTTTTTTTAAAGATGTGGGTTTTATTTCTTTCTCTTTGTGAGAGTAAAAAGATATAAGGTGTGTCATTTAAAATGACACACTTTTTTCGTCGAATATATATGGTGCTGGTTGGTGCGGGGAATGAACGGAGTAGCGTACATATATAGAGTTAGTGGAATAGTAGAGTAAGTTTCGCGGAGGATGTTACGAACTTACGATGAAGTTGGAAACTGGAAAGGGACACAACACGTTCCTAACTACCATCTCTAAGCGACTTCACGTGTGTGAAGACCGAAGTACAAACTGGAACCAAGACCACCTTGGAGGCTTGCCTGGCAGATACGGTAGGTCAAATAATTCATGGACCAGAATCAACCAGTCGTTACGACTGCGCAGAAACATGCCACGTGAGGGTGCCATTTTGGAAGCAAACGAGGTCCATTCCATTACTTTTCGAAAAGAAATGTGAATTATTAAGAATATAAATACAAATTGAATAAAAAAAAATTGAGTCATAATTTTTCTTGACATTTTTTTTATTTATCAATAGAAATGTTTCATTCTACCATAAGTTTTTGTTAGAGTTCAATATTCATTTACGTGTTAAATTCTTAATTATAATAACACCCACATAATACGTTAAATTCATTTTTTTTATAAAGTATCAAACTCTTCTTTAGTAATATGTTATAACATATTATTAATTAATAAATCAAAATAGACATTTTAGATCTAATAAAATTAGAAACATAATTGTTACGTCCTAGAAAATCGTATTGTTATATCAAAAGAGATACCTTAGAGATAGGCACTTTGGTTGACTTATAGCCAATATCTCAATCACTGCGCACAAGCAATAAGCTTTTAGCCAAGATGTAGGTGTGTGCACAGTGTTGACAGTAATAATAATTAGGTCAAAAAGTTGTGTACCTGGGGTCTTTAACCTCTTATTTATAAGAGTTACCTCTTGGGCTTGTATAGATCTCCCAGTTGTAGTAGGATTCAACTTCCTTTCTGTTGAGATAGAGACTCTATCCTTAGCAGCCTTATTATTTTATAATGTTAGGATAATTGGGTATTATCCTTTAAGGGATTCTTGGGTATGTGGTTAGGATATGAAAATATTTCATAACAATAATAAACAAGGATAACGAAATCTATATGATATCTTATGGGTTTCAATTTTCTCATGCTATAGACACATTTTGTGTAGGGACCACATCTATTAAAAAATTAAAAAAAATAATGCATGAAAATTATAATACCCCAAACTTAAGCATTTAATTGATTAATTTTAATTAAGTAATTAAGTATGTATTAGTGACTAAAATTAAGTATAGGGCCTAATTAAGTGAGTTGGGGTCACTTTTGAGGTAAAAAGTGTACTCAGTAGAAATTAAGGGGTATAAATGAGTGTAGGCAAAAGTACCCAAAATATAAAAATAAAAATGTAAATACTCCTAGAAAAATATTCCAAACCTATGGGTAAAGTTTGGTGGCGAATGGAGTGGAATAGATAGATGAACCAATACCCACTTAACTTATGTTAAGTGAAGAAGCAAACAAAAACCCAATTCCCCCCGCCCCCCCAAACCCGTCGAGCTCCAGAAGAAAGAAAAGAGAAGGAAGAAAGAAAGGAAAAGAAGGAGAAGGAGAAGGGGAAACCCTAGAGTGAGCAATCATTGACCATTTTGAGTGATTCCAAAGCCTAACCCACTCCAAATCTTCCCCTCTTTCATAATCCTAGCTTGGTTTTGAGTGGGAGTCTTTGTGGAGTGGGATATTGTCCTCCAAAAATTCGACCCCTAGGAGAAATTGAGGTGTTGATGGTTTTTTCTACCATGGAAGCTTGAGGAACAACCATTCCATTGTTGTGTGATCATTGGTGGTGAGTTTCCATCCTTTTTCACTTGATTCCTTGAGATTTTCATGAGTTTAGGTTTTGATGAATAGTGTTTTAGGGTTTTATGTTAATGTGAGTAGATTGGCTATGTTCAAGGAAGAATGAGGCTTAGAGTATGTTGTGAAAAATGCTAGGAATGACATTTAATCGGTAAAAATGAGTTTATAGTGTTATTTTAGTATTCTTTGATGTTTAGAGAAATCTAGGCTTGGAACTATGGATTTCCTTGCATTGTTAGCATTGTTTGATTGTATTCCTTGTGTTGATAGGATTGAGGCAAGAGGACCAAGTGGAGTGACCAACCCTTGGGGTTGTGTGCAATTGAGGAAAGCTCAAGAGCAAGGTAAACCTTTGGACCTTGGGGTTGATCCCATTGAGTGTTCCACCATACTCCGTTGAGGAGAAATGGTTTATGAGATGTGATATGTAATTATGATAGTAATTGTATGCTCATGCATTGATTCATGCATTGATACATGTTATGATTGATTAATGATTATTGGTTGATGTTTGATTGTTTAAGAGTAATTGAGGAATGGTTATAGAAGTGGCAATAATGAATGAGGTAATGGTTGAGGATTGTGATTAAGGTTATGAGTGATAGTATTATGATGAGGATGATTGGTAGGAACTTCCCTTGGAAACAACCATATGTGGTTAGAGCCTAAGAGGAACAGCCCTATGTGGATCCCTCTTGGAGGTTCCTAGATTGAGGAAAGGACTTCCCTTGGAAACAGCCCTAGGTGGATCTCCATGTGGTAAGAGCCTAAGAGAAACAGCCCTTTGAGGATCTCTCTTGGAATAGATTGAGGAAATGACTTCCCTTGGAAACAACCCTATGTGGATCTCCATGTGGTGAGAGCCTAAGAGAAACAACCCTTAGTGGATCTCTCTTGAAAGTCCATGTGATGCTTGTGGATAAGAATGTTTTAAGCTATTATAATTATGTGTACATCGAAAGTGAACCTTAGGGTGGAGTGATCTCCAAGGACCTCTGGTTTACTGTGATATACCCGTATATCTCACCCCGTGTTGTGGGGCATCATTTCAGGTACTGATAGAGGTGAGGTTGATCGAGGCAAGAAGCATGAGTAGACTGTACCTGATAGCTGGACATTTTGAGTTGCATGCCATTTAGCATTGCTATATGTATATTTTGATGCCACATGATGTATTTTGGAGGACTTAGTGTATGATCATTGTTGTAGTAATAGGTATCTGATACATGGTTACTTGCTTTGATCATGTTCCTTTTGTAGCTAAGTCCATTGGCATGTATATTAAATTGTAGGAACTAAGATGTAAATGAGACTTTGATGAATTGTAATTAAGACATGATGTAATATTGGAATTAATGGAGATGTATGTATGATGAAATAATATACATGCTTCTCTTAGTGTATGAGTACCTTGAAAGATTAGAATTCATGTATTGGAAGGATTGTATAATATCAATTAGGAGAAAGAGGACCTTGGGTTGGAAAATCCAAGTAAAGGTAAGGACATCCTGTCTTGTTGTCCATTTTCGTATTCTATATGACATATTTGGACCCTCGTGTCTTAATGGAAGTTGTAGATATTTTTCTTAGCTTTCCATAGAGACCAAGTTGGTGTAATTTGGAGTTGTATAACTAAAGTTATGGATGATATACCAAGGGAAGCCAAATTGCCTTGTGGAGGGGGCTTAAGCCTGGAAATGGAGGCTTAAGCTCGCTCAGGGGGCTTAAGCGCCCTGCTGCCCCTGTGAGAGCCCATGCTCACTGCCTCCGCGGGCTTTAGCACCCAAATTGGGGGCTTAAGCGCCCAGGGTAGCGCGCTTCAGCGCCCTGGTGCGCGCTTGAGCGCCCTTAGCTGGAAAAAGACGAGTTCCTCTCTGCCTGTGGGCACTTTAGCGTCTGATAGCGCGCTTAAGCGCGCGCGGCCTGTGTCCAACATAAACATGTATTGTGATAATTTGTCATAACTTGAGCTACAGAGCCCCAAATGAGGCGCGGTTCAAAACCACGCGTAACTAATGAAGAGAGGAAGACATTTAACCACCTTTGGTCTAATGTAATAATGATATGATGTTAAGCTTAATTTATTTTATTCCGCAATGTAATATGGTTATGATCACGCAATTGGACATTATAAATTTGGCATGTTGTGAAATGAAAAATTTAACCGGATTTTAATTGAACCCATGTGATTGTAACTGCGCTTAATATCATAATGCGATGTTAACAAACCGGTTCTAGAACGGGGTGTTACAAAAATTGAAGGATCACTAGTAGAAAAAAGAAGTTCTCCTACAACATGAAAAAATATTTTCCCATATCTTATATTATATAATATGATGAAGTTAACCATGCCATAATAACAAAAATGATGGTGGTAAAGGTTTATGATGGAAGTGATCATGAATAAAAATTATTGCTGAAAAAAAAACATTGTTTTATTATATTTATTCAATTTTTTTCATAACATAATACTTTTTAGATTTAATATAATTTTATTAATATATTTTTTCAAATAGAAACACATGTTATTTTTATTTTTTGAATTTTTAATATTAATCATGCATATCATCTTAATGATTTTAAACATTATTTTTTAATTGAATATTTTATATCTTTTAGGTTTTACATGAATTAGTTATTCATATATATATATATATATATATATATATATATTTATGTATATATATTATAATTTTAAATATTTTTTTACTACAATATAGTTTTTCAATTTTTATTTTTAAATGTTACGTAAATTTGAAAATATTTGCGTACTGCACAAAATTCTTCCTAATTATAATACAAATGAATATCTCCTCCTATCTGAGAATGAATGACATTAATAATGCGAATCAAATATACTTGAAATTTATTGTAATTTTTAATCGAATCAAAGTCAATCAAGTGATTTCAACAAAAAAAAAAAAAAAAGTCAATCAAGTGATTCAGGCCATACAATAATAACTAGCACATATTTATCGGCAGCAGGTATCTATGAACCGCCACTATTATGTCAACGAAAATAAGTGGGAATTTTTGCCAAACGGTAGTACATTCAGTTGATGGTGAAGGAATTGAGTAACTGCAAAGAATAAAGTGTCGGTTCAATCTCTACATATTATCTTTAGGAAGAATTTAAATATATTTTTTCTTGATTCGCTTCACACTTCGATTTAGTTTGATAGTCATTTAAAAAAATTGAAGCTTTGATGATATCGGAGACGAGCCAACTAGGTAATTAGGGTTGAATTTGGTCAATTAACTTAAAATAAAATAAATAAGTAGGGTTCTAGGAGAAGAAAAGAGAGCCTCGTACCTTTATCTGCGGGAGATAATTTTATTTTCAAATTGCTGATTAAAATGGGCTTCATTACATGGTTTGTAAAGAATTTTAGAATACATCACCCCAAAAGCTAGCTTAAAGGGTGGGAAGTATCCAAGGCTTTATAAACTCCACATTAGTTACCCATACAACTAATATGGGACTATATATCTCAACACGACTCCTCACACGAGAGCCTACTGGGCTTGAAGCGTGGATTATGCACAGACCCAATTCTTGGTTTACCTTTTAGTGCTTTTTATTTTAATTCCACTTTAAAGTGGGAGGCAGTGAGGATCGAACTTGTGACCTTGTAGTCACTCAAGCTCTGATACAATGTAAAAAATCTTGGGATACACCACCTCAAAAACTAGCTCAAAGTGTGGGAAGTGTCCTAAGACCTTATAAATTCCACATTAGTTATCCATACAACAAATGTGGTACTATATATCTCGACACAGTTTGCCAAGGTTATAATTTGATTGGGCTGTTTCAAATACATAACCTATACCTATCCAATAAACGGATATTTTAGTCAGATCCTTCATGGCTAAAATTAACCTACTTTATTTACAAAAATAAAATAAAAAATTAACCTACTTTATTTTATTAGACTGGCCCATTTAAAATAAAGCTTGCAAATAAGTTATTAAAAAAATATAAAATACATTGCTCTGAAAAATGTTAAATAACATATCGAAAAAGTTCACTTTCAAATTGAGATGTCTTGAGAACGAAACGGTAAACCAAAGATTCTTAAATATAATTCAGTTTGAATTATGTTATATTTATTAGACATTAGTTTAATTAAAAATTTTATGGTACTTTTTGAATTGAGAGTGGTTGTATGACATTTTAAATTTATATATGTACCAATTTGATGTTTTAATATGTATTTAAAATATATTGTTCCAAGAAGCGTTAATTTCCTGCTTTATAAAACTATTCTTAGAAATATAGACTTTAAATGAAAATTTTAATGTTGAATATAAGTTTTTAAAAAGTATGCTCCACCTTAATAATTCAAAAAAAAAAACTACCTTTTGGTAGATATTCGTTCTCATAGTAGGTGTTGGAAAAGGTACAGTACTCTACGAAGTAGGAATAAAATTTCTTGTGTAAAAAAGTCTACCAAAAAAAAAAAATTGTGTAAAAAAATTAAAAAGCCTAAACATATTTGTGGATAGATTAATTTTATTTCTAATATTTTTGAAAAAGGGTCTTTTGAAAATTAATTGATTCTAAGATAGCATTGTTGTGCATAAACCTTTATGAGAAACTAAAAACTTCGAAACAAATTTATTAAATAATTATAAAATTTATATTAATTATGAGAAAATTTTAATTTTTTTAAAATTAAATTCACCTTATCACATGATTTAAGATAATATAACCACACAAAAACCCTTGTGATACATATAATACTTGAGAACGATGTATCATACAATCAATGTTATAAATAATTCTGATGAGTAATTTTTATTATTTTTGAGAAAAATTTTCGTTAACAACACTTCACAAAAAATAAAATAAACCACAAAAATAATGTTAAAGGGGGAAATCAAATAATAGATAATAAAAAATATAAAGACAATAATTCAAAATATTTCATCTTCATTTTTGTGTCTTTTATCTTTTTTTAGTTAATTGTATTTTAATTATGTTTTAATTTTTATTTTCCTTTCCATTTTTATTATTACCATTTTAAAATATTAATTTTATTATTTTTAAATTATTTATTTTATCTATTTACCATATTATTTAAGTTGAGAACAACCAATTCACTATAAATTGCTTTCCTCTTGAAGATAAGGCCCAAAATGGGTATAAGCGGGCTAATGGGCACTGGACACCAAATAAGAAATGGGCCACAGCTTCGAGTGGTTGGCATACCTAGGCAGAGGGAGGCGCCACAGCTTGCAGTAAAGAATCAAAATTTTTAAAGGCCGATTTTAAGGTGTTAAATGAAGATTTTTTTAATAATTTATATTATTTTCTAATAATTTAAAGAGGTACAAATGATGGTTGGAAAATTAAGGACACATAATAGGGCATAATCCCCCTGTGAAAATGTTCTTATCATAATTTAAAGGCCGAAGCAAAAGTGAATCCTCATTCCGAGGGGCTACTTCATGTGGAAATCATAGCTGTAAGCTTAGCAAACAGCTAGAAAGGTCGACGAATCCCTTTGCTTCGTAAATTACGGGTTCAGCGGGCTCAAATTTTTATGAAGACTAGTAGACCACATCTGTATACATGTCCCACGAGACCATGGTATATGATAGTTATGAAAAATTCAGAACTTATATGATGACAACATTTGAAACGTTTTAATTGGATAAACGTTTTTCTTCCTCCAGAAGTATATAAGAAAATCTCGTATTGATATTAGACGTGTATAAGGAGATTTAGGAGGTTTTGACCACATTGGGAAGATGGGAAATTTGCCAACGCTAAAAATGAAACATCGAAATCAAAAGTGATTGGGAAAGACCCTTTTATAAGATAGTGGAGGGCATGTGATATTTAGGGGCGTTTGGTTGAGGAGAAAATTTTTGAATACTAAGGAAATATAATTGATAGAGAAATGGTTGGAAAGTGAGTTTGGTAGGAAAATGTAAAAAAAATTGTTTGGTTGGAAAAAAATTTACTGGGAAAATTTGGTTAAATATATTATGTATATGTTTGGTTGAAGAGAAAATATTGATGAAAAAATGGGATGAAATTACAAAATAACCTTTAGGTGGCGTTTCGTCGAGGAAATTTTTTTTGAATACTAGGGAAATGTAATTGATAGGGAAATGGTTGGAAAGTGAGTTAGGTAGGAAAGTTAAAAAAAAGTTGTTTGGTTGGGCTAAATATTACCAGGCAAATTGATAAAGGTTTTTAAAATGTATATTTAGTTGATGAAAAAATATTGATGGGTAAAAGGGATATAATTACTAATATAACCCCGAATTAGTTACTTTATTAAAAACAAGTAGGTGCGTTTGCCATTTGTCTTCCAACGGTAATTTCCCACTTTCGAAAAAAAAAAATTCGTCGGTGACCATTTCCTCTTTTGCTACC